GTGCACATTATGGCACTGTACAATGTAACACCGACATTTCACTATTTATGTTATGAGTCCCATGTAATAGGGGGTGAGCCTATTGCCATATACCGGGCATAATTCCAGACTACGTGCTACTACTGAGATTTTTTTTAAGCCCAGTAATACTTACTTTGCCCGATCCGGGAATCAAACCCGAGACTCCTTGCCCTGCAGTCGCACTTGCGACCACTCGGCCAATGAGGCATCTATCTACTAAAATAATCTTTAGTAGAATGTTCGCTGTTGATTTCAATAACCTATCTATAACCGAGTCCATTATTATTTTTGACAGCAACTCTATAGAACTAATGTAATTGACTGGACGGTTGGTGGGGTGGCTTCGCTCGTGGCTCGATTCCCGCACGGAACAACACTTTGTGTGATCCACAAATTGTTGTTTCGGGTCTGGGTGTCAAATGTATGTATGTATGTTTGTAAACGCACCCACGACACGGGAGATAATCCTAGTGAGGGACAAAGTTTTTTTAAAAGAAAAAAAAGAAAAAATTGTCAATAGTTGGTCTTAATCTAAAGATTTTTGATCCAAGAAATCTGCTTCAAGTTCAAAGTCGGTCAAAGTAATGTAAGGTATTACAAACTAACGAGTTAACTGAAATAATAATGGTGTAAGGCAGTTCGCAAGCTTCTAGGGAGTCGCTGAATGCAGGTAGGTTCCAACTGCCCGATGTGATGCAACAGTAGACATCTTGCGACTGACATGACAGGAAAATGATAATGAGGTAATTCACCCCTTATTGGTATTTAATACTTTAATTGTAAATTCCCTTTTTTAATCAAAATATTCGAAATTACTTTAAGTATTGACTGCCTCGTTGGCCGAGTGGTCGCAAGTGCGACTGCCGGGCAAGGGGTCTCGGGTTCGATTCCCGGGTCAGGCAAAGTATTACTGGGTTTTTAAAAATCTCAGTAGTAGCACGGAGTCTAGAAATTCCGGTATATGGCAATAGGCTCACCCCCTATTACATGGGACTCGTAACATAAATAGTGAAAAGTGGGTGTTACATTGTACAGTGCCGTAATGTGCACCTCTGCCTACCCCTTCGGGGATAAAAAGGCGTGATGTTATGTTATGTTATTCGAAATTACCACCAAAAATACTGAATAGCACGCTAAATTTGCTCATCAAACAAATCAATTATAGGTACTATACTGTTAGATATTTAAAGCTTAACTGTTTTACTGAATGACTACCTTTTAAAACTAAAAGTAAATCGAATAATTCCTAATCTAACCTAATCTAGCCTATTTTGGAAATTCCGTTGTAATTAAATATTGAACAATTAGTGCGCAAATTAGTATTTTTTGTTTTACGGTGAGGGATATGTAGTTAATTTGTAGTACAGTAATTTTTTTGATATGCAGTAGGTTATTAGTGTAGGTTAGGTTTTTATTATGTCTAAATAGAGGTGCAGTATAAAATTTCCCCTTATTAAGTTTGGTAGCAAAAAAATTGTCTCAAACGCAGACTAATCTTACTCAAGTTATATAAAAAAAAGCCTCTTGACGTAACACAACGATTTTAGCAACGAACAATCTTCTCTCAAGAGTAAAAGTAAGAGTTATTCACACTTGAATAATACGACGTTGTGGCGTTTTATCGTAGAGAAAGCGGTTATCGTACATCGCTATTAGGCGCTAGGGTAGGGCCACGGAACTAGCGTAAGACTACAGATTGTTACAAACGATTCTTTGTAATTTGTTGAGCATAAATAGTGGCCAGGTCGCGTTATACTTTAGTTATGGTTTCGGGTTCTGTGGGGTAAAATGAAAACACGACCTTCTATTTACAGGTGTAGGGAGTACCGTGAAAATGCTATCTTTATTGAAGTACCTACTAGCTATTTCCGCGCGGTTTCACACGCTCTGCTCAGCTCCTATTGGTCGTAGCGTGATGTTTTTGTAGCCTATGGCCATCCTCGATAAATGCGCTATCCAACACAAAAAGAATTATTCAAATCAGACTTGTAGTTACGGAGATTAGCGCGTTCAAACAAACAAACAAAAAAACAAACTCTTCCGCTTTAGATAATAGTAGAGGTTTAAGATAAGATTTTGTTCGTGAACAGTCTGACTTTGTAAGTCCAGTCCACTGTCCAATAGATAGGTAGTTGTAAAACTAACATTCAGGCATGTAGGCTAGCATTTAATGCCTGGATATAAAGGTAAATTGAAGAGGTGAGTTCAAGTTAGCATTGAACTAGAATCTGCATCAAGTCTTACACTGAGATCGACACGGAGCCGCGGAGGACTTAACAGGTTGCCGGGGTTCCAGCTCGAAGTGCAGGAGTAGGAACGGGGTGGTTTTTAGTCAGTAAGAGTCTGACACTTCCTCTCGCCTCACCCGAGCGAGAAAAGTCAATGGATGATTTGCCCCGCTCAAAAATAAAAGTCTCAAGTGAGATTCTAGAGGTAGTTATAGTTACGCCTCTTTAAGTTCAGAAACGAAAAGCTATTGTCAAATTAAATAATACTACTGCCCTACCCTTTGTGTCATAGTAGACTACTTGTGTTCACTATTACCAAGCTATAAAAGATTTTTATATAGAGAACCGTGTTTCAGGACTCGTACATGCCATATTTTTGTTAGGTAGACGTGTTTTCCAGTCTTATATCGTTAGCGTCAACAACAAACGACCGAGTCTAATGGTCGTCGCCTAGTTGGACGTTTCTAGGAACCAATTATATTATTTATAATAGGCGTGTCGACAGGGTAAAAAAATCAAAAAAGTAATTAGTCCGTCATTAAGATCGCACGAAAAGATCAGACACGTATTTTTTGTTTTATCAAATTAACAGAAGAATACGTAGTTATTCCGCATTAAAGTTAGGGAGTGGGGGGTGTTGACGTCACACTTACGGAGAAATCGTACCTAAGTGTGACGTCACGCGTCATTTTAACTCAAAATATCTACATGTTTTTTTGGATACGAGAAAAAAGAAAAAATACGTATCGAAGATTTTTAAAATATCTAGAAGACAGACAAAAAATTAAAAAATAGTCGCCATGCCTATTACTGTGTTTTTATTGTATTGTCACTGTGTTGTTATACTCTGTCGTTCCTATTTTTTTTTCTATATCTATATAAAAACATGTGTATTTATTTGTTCTTTTCTTTTTTAATTTTGTATTTTTTTGTATCTGTGTGCGTGCCTACTGTCGAATAAATGTTTTTTTTTCTTTCTTTCTCATTATAAAGTATCTGGCTAGCTAATGTTTTTTTTTATCTTGGTACTGTATCGAGGTTTTTTGTTAAGTAAGAGGGCTTATGTATTACATATCTACGTACATAGTACATACATAATTATGAATTTTATCTTCCCATAAGTGTTTACTTTCTAAGACTTGATTAAGGTAATTTTAAGTGTAGCCATGCTTCGGGACGAATGGCAGGAGTAGGAACGGGGTGGTTCTTAGTCAGTAAGAGTCTGACACTCCCTCTCGCCTCACCCAGGCGGGCGAAGTCATTCGATGATTTTCCCCCTATAAAAGCAAAACTCTGCAAGAAAGCAGCAACAATATAAATCACAATGTAGATATAATAATAATAACCTACATAGCAGGTTTGTTAAGGGTCAGCAAGACGCATGTAATGCCCCAAGTGTTGCAGGCGTACATAGGCCACGGTAACCGCTTACTATCAGGTGGGCCGTGTGCTTTTTTGCCACTGTCGTGGTATAAAAGGTAGGTACCACAAAAGAACATAAAACCTATTTAACCTTTAACTACTGACGTGGGTGTCTCATAGACGGCGTGTTCACGAATATATGAATTTTCCAAAAAAAACGTCCAAATAATAGTATTGTAGCTAAGATTGTAACATATATTTTTTTAAGTTATGCGAAATATTATAAGTTTATAGAATTTGAATCAAAAGCCGCTGATTTCATTCGAAAATGTTTTTTTTTTACAGTCCGAATTATATTGGACCAATCATAATACTTACAATTAAATATTGTGCAAATCAGTAAATAAAAGTAATACATTTCGATTATTTATTAAGGTGTTTGACATACGTCACGTCACCATTTATGGTATGAGTAAACCACGTCAGTACTTGAAGGTTAAAAACAATGCTCGCGTATTTCGCGGCCCACATTCGAAGCATTCCTTTGCCACCCCGTGGTACGCTTTAATGTAAACACTATTAAGACTTATTTAGGCCACAAATAAGATGAAAGACGTCGTGGAAGTTTACGACTGTGTTACGCACATCTATTATGTGTTAATTTGTAAGGGATTTTATAGCTTTACTCTGGAGGGTGGCTAAATAGCTACTGCGAACGATATTGCTTGTCGTGTTTGAAAAACAATACTTATGATATTTAGAAGAATATAGGTTTGAGGTAAGTAAGAGATTAGAAGGTTAAAAGCTTGAATGCCCGTACCTACCTATATGAGACACAATAGAAATTATACATTGTGTCTTGCGCGAATCCACGTTTAGACACATGAATGGTTTAATAAAAACAAAATTGTGTATGTGCACCAGAAACAATATTTAATGTTTTTTATAGCAATTTCAAAAACTTTTTAAAAGATACTTTTGAGTTTGTTTCCTCGTTTCTTGTCAGAGTAGTCAGTTATGAAATACCGGCCCTCATCTATATACATAATTATATTATTTATAGTGTAAAAGTGTTGTTATAGGTTACAACCTATTTGCCGAAATTAATATCATTTCATCATTTCAAAGCACTAAGAAGGTGAGTCGGAAAGAAGTGCATTGAGAAAACTTAAAAAAATAAATAAAGTAATGTAGTAAAAAATGTTTAATAACGTTGGTCTAATAAAAATAATAACATTCATATATTTAAAACAGTAAGGCTAATCCCGATGTAATATTTTTTTAAACATATTTTGCACACATGAAGTCTACGTGGAACGAAACGCGCCATTCTTCTCTTACTGTCAAAGTCAAATCACTGGCTTGAATTGTCAAATGTCAAAACAAACAAAAATCTTAGGCGACTTATTTTCTTGAAAAATACTAGAAAACGATAGTTATATAATGGATAATTACGAAAATATGTTTGATACTATATGTAGACTGTGTTTAAGCCAAACCAGTGACGGTAAAATGGTGTCTTTAATTGATAATTCAAGTGAAGACGGACTAAGTAGTTTTGGCAAGTCTATCTCAATAGTGACCAATGTTTTGCTGCAAAAAGATGATAAACTACCAACTATGATGTGCCAAAAGTGTGCTTATTTACTAAAACAAACTATTTATTTCAAATTGAAGTGTGAATCGACAGATAAACAGTTGAAACAACTCGTCAAGAAGAACGTAAACAATGAATGTTCAGGTGCAAATTACAAAGAAATTGTGTGCGAATATGTGATGTTTAATCAATATTTCCCATCAACACTTAGTTCTAAACGTACCAAACAGAATAGTAAGCCTAAACGAAAAGTAAAAACCAATAATTTAATACACAAAAATTCTCAACAAAGTTCCATTGAAAAAGTCCAATTGGACAACGATTTTACTGACAATATCTACGATTTTGACGATTTTATTGACAATCAAGATAATAGAAACAATTTTGGTGACCAAGAAGATGAATATTCACAAGAAATAAACAATATTTTGAATTCAATAGACACTTTAATAAAATCGGATACTGCCATGCCTACTACTCAGCGAACAAAACGACAATTAAAAAGAGAACAAAGATACAAATCAGTGCAAAAAATGGAGCGTAACTTAATATGTAAATTATGTCATAAAGTCCTTGCAAATCGAATAACATACGACCATCACATGCAAAGACATAACAATTGCCGATTAATTTGTGACCAATGTGGGAAAGGATTTCCCATTCTCACGGAGTTGCATATGCATCAAGTAGCCCGTCATGGAGTTGGCCCATACCTAGAATGCGACCACTGTCAGTACAAAGCTCCGAGGAAATTAGACCTAATAGAACATTTAAGAATACATACTGGAGAACGACCATTTACATGTGAGACATGCGGATTAACGTTCCGTCGGAAAGCTATATGGAGAAATCATTTAATTTGTCATATGGAAAAGCAAGTTCAATGCCCGTACTGTCCGAGGAAGTTCTATCGTCAAGCATCAATGTTAGCGCACTGTAATAACGTACATGAACGAATGTACATGTATATGTGTAGTGTTTGCGGTGTGACTTATACGAAAACGGAGACAGTGAAACGTCATATGCTTGTGAAACACGGTATTCCAAGAGAAAAGCAAGGTAAAATAACAAGGATTATGAATGTTACGAATTTTACCCAGGTTCCTGGTAAAGATGTTTAACCCGTAATATGCCGAGATACAGATCGACACGGGACACAATGTGTTTCCAATTCTTTCTCATATACATAGTTACCGGCAATCAAGAGGTTAAATGATACTCAGAGTAGTACTCAGATAGATAGTAAGTTACATCAATACGTTTTGTTGATGCAAACAAAACTTTATGATGTTGAATTAAGATTCAATTTTGATTTACACAAATTGTCAGTAAATGATATTTTTATGTTATTAAAGCTTAAAAAGTTATTAAAAAGTGATTTGGGTTTTTATTTTTTTCTAAGAAAAAGTACCTAATGGTTGTTTTACTAGGTTCTCCTGAAATGAGGTAATTATTTCTTAATTATTTGGATTAGGTATTAAAGAGTGGAATTCTTTGCTAGAGTCTGTTTTTCCTGAAGCATATAACCTGAGTATCTTCAAGGTCCGAGTGAATAGGTTGCTTATGGGATGACGTGCTCCATCGTAGGCCACATCATTGCTTACCACCAGACGGGATAGGGGTCAAATGGCCTATCATAGAAAAAAAAAATTGTGTCATCTATACAGATAAATGAAATTGGATTGTCTGTTTTTAATATTAAAATAACCGCTTTTCACTACATGCATAATCTATACCTACTAATATTATACCTCTAAAGAGGAAAGATTTGTACCTATTTTTGTATGGTTGTAATGACTACGCTCAAAAGGTACTGGGCCAATTTTAAAAATTCTTTCACCAATAGACTGCTACATTCTTCCAATTTGACATACTTAGGCTACATTTTCATTTTTTTTTAAATTAGGGATCCTTGGTAATATTCGAACAATGTAACCGAAGGTGTACAAAAATGACTCTTAAAATGTCTTTCGTCGAATGCGCTGCCGAAACTTTTAGCGATAGAACAAAATAATGTACAACAATATTGAAGAACATCATAATGTCTACAAAAAACTCCGCGGTAGCATATGTCCAACTATTGTAGTTATGTCACTACAACAATCCAAATTTCCAAAAATAAAAAATTGTCTACCTCGTGCGAAGCCGGGACGGGCTGCTAGTTATAAATATACATAATTATGATACACATACTTACCAAAATAACATTTTTTATAAATGTTGGTACTGGCTAATCTCTGGAATGGCTGGACCGATTCTGCAAGACTTTTATTGGCGGGGAGCTGATGTACATAGTAACATTGGCTACCTACTTTAAGAGAGCTAACTGGACGACACTGAGGTCGGACGTGCCGCGTTACTTAAATATTATTTTCTTCTACCTACGTTTATTAGAGGTATATTGAGTCAAGATTATTCAATATAGAATTACTTCATAGTATTATCCATCGAAACATATATCTAGTACTTGCGCGGCTGTTGAAGTTTATAAAAATTGATTGTATCGTTTTCACCCCGAATCGGGGTTCACCGCTCCGGTGCCGGACTTCGCTGATATTATTTGGACTACCCTACAACCCTCAATATTACATGACTGCCACACCCCTATGTGCATCCTACAAAAGCGGCGTGATACTACGAGGCACAGGTGGTAAGGATTACATAAAATAGTGATCAATGATGAGGCAGTCAATGTACATAAAAGCAGCAGAAAGATAGCCAGTATAAAAATATATGACACTACAAGCTACTAATTGAACAAACACTAATTTATAGCAAGGTAGTTTAATGAGAAAATGAGCCCAACGCATATTTATTAGATTTACAATTGTACTGAGATAGCCTTACTACTTACTTACTTACTTATTTTGGAAAATTTAAACAAACAAAAACTATTATCATAAAGTAATGGTTTTTCAGAATGGCGTGATGTCCACCACACAGGTTTTTTAAGTTTGGTTCTTAAAAGGTAGTCAGCAGAAGTAAAAATATTTTTTTTTTGTTTTCCTTACCTACTTGGTCAAGTGATTATAAGTGCAACTGCTGAGCTTATAGTTTCGGTTCCGGTATATTTAAGGTGTAACAAAAATAGTGCACAATATTTTAGTAGGTCAATTAGTATGTGATAAACATCATTTTTTTATGAAAATATTTTATAAAAACTTATCAATTATTTTTAATAATTCAATTATTCATTTATTATTTTCATTGCTTTTTATGCCATCCTGCAATATGTACCTATTCCTATGTAGGTACCTATTCGAAAAGCTCGGTCGTTGACCCGTAAGATAAACGGCTGGCGTTATGTGTAAAAACACAACAACAATTTTGCAAATGTGATGCTAAATTTAATTAAACATGTTGTTGTTTATATTTTTTTTAGGTAAACATATCCTATCCTATCCTTATCATGTACTATATCACCTGTTAAAATATTGTGCACTATTTTTGTTAGACCTTATATATACCTCTAAGTAGGTAGGCATTTATTGATTTTTTTATTTTAAATTTTTCTATCTGATATTATATTTACCTAACATGCGTCTGCAATTCGTATACCTACCTCGAATATCAATCTTCGCATCTTTTACTTAATACTGAACAACATAACTAAATGACATTTATTTTAGTTATACACATTCAAATATGTATCTTCGCTTCACCTCTTTGAAGATACAGGCATCCCACCAATTCCTGGAAAAGCGCCCGACATTTTAAAATAAACACCGTTCTGAAAACGGCTTGCAATCACAAGAAACTCGAATTCATCTCATTTACATAACTACACACTCACACACACACACACACACACACACACACACACACACACACACACACACACACACACACGTAAAACTTGGTATTCCACAAACGACTAAATTCGTTTTCCTCACACTTTGTGCGACTATGAACCGACCAAACTTAATCTAGTTGACTAAACTATGTAATGCTCTCCACGTGTTCGGTTCAAAGCGTTTTTGAGCTATTACTAAGTCCTAGACAAAGCTGGTAGGGAGTTAAGGCATTTGAGTTGCATATGTATATAGGTAGATACATTATAGGTATCTACACTGATGTGAACGAATTTATTGTTGGCTTCAATTGCATAAACCAAAACATTGCTTGGGTAACTACTACCTACCAACTTCCGTCCGATTGCATGAAGAGACTGCGTGAACGGCATCTAGGTAACATGTTACTGATTCGATAATTTATGTGTTCTCTCTTTCTATCTCTGCTCATTTTAAAATCGTTGCCCCACCCTAGGATTTTCTAGTCGTAGATGCGTTTACAAACGTACAAGTTCACATACAGATGATACCCAGACCCGGAACAATCTGTGGATCACACAAAGAATAGCTCCATGCGGGAATCGAACTCGCGACACGTTGCGCCAGTTACCCAGCTACCGCGCCAACCGTGCAGTCTTATATTCAGTATCTTTACGAACAGTGTTTTTTTGTAATCTACAAATTGATTTATCGTTAGGTGATGTATTCTGCAGGTGATTGTAATAAAAATCTAAGTAATGTGAAGTTACCTATGTTTAAAGAAAATCTCTAAGGTCAGAAGTCCGTCTCTATTGGAGACCAAACCTCACATCTTGACTACAAAAGTATAGACTAGAGCAACACCCAATTTACGATAGAGTTGAACCTTCGGCCACAATTTCGTTATTTGCTTAGGCCGGCCTACCGAATATTTGGCCAATAAATAATGTAAATTACATTATTTTGTTTTGAAAGGCCATTCTGCAGGTCAAGTGGTGGCGATCAAAGGGATTTATGTTGTAAATAGTTTACTTTTACCATGTGTACAAGCAAAATATGGGAATATTTTTGACAGATTTTCTTTTGATTTTTTGATTCTGTGGTTGGTCGTGGACCTATGAATTGACCTTGAGAATTTAGTTTGGAGATTTCTCTGGTCTCCATTGTATGAGCTTGAATTCTTTATGTGGCATGAGGAATTAGGTCTGATTGCTGTTTGCTATAAAAGCGATTATTGATTTAGAAATTCTCAGTACATCATATTCTTTAATCTTTTTAGGTCTGAGAATTAGGTATACATGGCAAAATCAAGTGCAATTACTCTAAACCAAATAATCGAAATCTTTGCATTATACGTAATTATTTTTTTACGTTAATTGATTTGAAGTTAGGACTGGATAGACTATAGCTGCTATTACCCCATATCTGTGAAAAATGAAGCTCCAATAATAATGGTTAACTCCACCGACACAGTCCACTATAAAATTAAACTGTCGATAATGACAACACTAAATAATTATTCGAAAGGGTTAACCTTATCAATAGTGACTTTAATGACTAGAGATCGAAGGGTCAGGGTTAGAAATTAAACTTACGTGACCCTATTGAACTGAGGGACATTCTTGGAAAACTATTTGGCTTAATTAGTGAGGCCTGACTGTTATGACTATAACATAATGTCACGTGTCTTGTATTGGGGTTGTTCGAGGTGTTCCTTTATTATTGGTGAGTGCTTTATATAGCCCTTTATAGTTTGAACGTTCTTGATTGTCTCATTGGTTTTCGATTCACACATAATTATTATTTTTGTCTTCTAAACCTTACATTATAGGCTTTTTTTGAGGGGGAAAATCGTGTGTCAGTCAGTGTAAGTGTCAGACCCTTACTGACTAAAAACCACCCCGTTCCTTCTCCTGCACGTCGAGCCGGAGCCCCGGTAACCCGTTAGGTTCTTCGCTACATTATAGGCAATATAGGTCTAGAATCTCTGGAGAATTGTAGGTTCACAGCTCGGTCAATTGTCGGTTCAGGCAAAGTGCGTATAGTATATTGCAACAGGCTCATCACCTATGATCACACAGCTCATAATCGCTATAATTGTTGACAATTGATTGTTACTATATAAATTCACAAATGTATCTCCCTCGTCGGGGATTCCACCTTTAAATTGTGACGTTAGTTTATTTATTTCTACTTTATGTCATACCAAAATTTCTTAATTAAATTCTCTAACAGGTACTAGATATATCATTTTCTAATAAGCCAAGGCTTTAAATACTAGCCGGTCTAGGTCTTCATGAGACCCTTGTCAAGTTAGACGTTTTTATTTAAACGCCAACTCCTACACACTTTTAGACGTAGGAACAACTATATTTTCAGTTAGGCACATAGGTAAAGCTATTTATAAAACTAGGTAGCTTTTCGGAAAATCCTTTCTCGACCTGGGATTTAGAAAATTTATCTCTTAGTAACTACTAAGTTGCGATTCTGTAGGTTCTAAGTAATCAGTGGTGTAGTGTGGCAAATCGGAAATATGCTACGGGTTCCTAGCTG